GCGCGCCATTACACGAGAAGCTAGGGCGCTGAAAAGTATATATCTGCATAGTAAAGTACAAAGCAAGAGCACCTTCGAGTTCTATCAGTATGACTTCCATATTCGCTCGTTACATTAGCGCGAGGAGCAAAAGAACGAAAGGAGTAAGTATATCTCCGGCTCAACGGAGGGACAGCGAAAGGTAAATGTCCTGTAAATGGAATGAAGAAAGAGACAAAATTGGAAGTAACGATACGACTTGTTTCTCTCTCGATCGTTAACCCAGACGGCAGACGGGCTGACATGAAAATTTCAGTCGATCTTGGTTGTGTGCGGGCGAGATAGGGGCGGGAGGAGGGCGGGAAGAGTGATTTTCGCCTGTTACTATGGGGAGTCATGTTGAAATATTTAACGACTCGATTGTTCATTCGTTCGGTGCGTGTCAAACAAACATAAAGCGACGCTTTTTCCGCGAAAAAAAAAACGTGGAATTGATAGCCGCATGCCTCGCAAAGCAATTGTGAGTTTTTGTCGTGTATCGGATATATCATAATGTACACAGCGGCGCAGCGTGAAATAATCCACACGCAGGTAGAAAGGTAGAAAGTGTAAGTGCTCTCGAGGATATCGACGTTCGCTCTATCTCGTCGGTTATCTCCCGACGTGAGGGATCGAGCCTCTCGTTCCTTTCCGAGTCTGTCCTTCATGAGATGGAGAAAAAACCGGAGAGAGTTCGCGGGTGACGCGGGCGAAGGAAGAGAAATGACGCGGAGGCCACCCTGCTATTTGTGCAGCGTGGCGGGAGGAGATGGAGAATGGCATGGCAGGAAACCCGGTGGTGCCACGACGGTGGCAGTGCATTTCACTTGTTCGAGGCATAAACTGGGACGGTAGACGTGCCGGTATGAAAATTTCAATCGGCTGGAGCGAAGTGTCGGCGGCGTAGCGCGCGAGCGGAGCGTCGGAGGAGGCGGCGTCGAGCGAAGGTGGAAGGTGGATGGTAGTGGCAGCGGTGGAGAGAGAGGCTCAGGTGGAGGCACAGGTGGAGATGGCGAGGAGGAGGAGGGAGAGGTGGAACGCGACGCGAGGGAGGATGAGGAGGGTAAAGTGGCTCTGGACCGTGTGGGTATATCGTCGTCTCTCTCCCAGTTTCTCGCCGGTTGATTCGCCGTAGCGGCACAGTCCTCTCTTCTCCGTCTTCCTTCCACTTGCCGGCGTACGAGGCCCTAGCCCGCGGCGAACTGCATAATTCATGGCCCTGCTACACACCGACCGCCGCCACCCCGGAGTACCCTCTTCCAGAGGGCCGCCGCCCGCCGCCCGCCCAACCCTCTTTGCGCCACCACCTTCCACGCTTCAACCTCCTTGCCATCAGGGTCAGCCTTAGTCGCGTGCATTGTACGTCACCACGTATGCGCGTGCTTGCCAGCTCTATGCATATAGAAGAACTTACGTGTGTACGTATATGCGTGTGTGCACAGCGCGGATAAAGTTGGCCCTGCGACGAGGGTATATATATACGCGCGCGCGTTCCTAACCCCGTGCACCACGCGCAGAATGTAGGCGAATATTTCGGCTGAGTTATGAACGGCACCCCCCGTTGAGGTAGCGCGGATGGTTAACGAGAGGAACGCCACGGGCGCTTTGACCGGTCTCGATAGCGTCGGGATGCCTGACAGAGAACAAGATTCGAAGATTGGAATAATGGATTTTTACGAGGCCACTGTCAGTTTGGACAAGTTTACGCGCGCCGTTGCTCCTTTGTTGCGCGTTTGCAGCCTTCACTCTTTTTCTTTCACGTTTCATCTCCGCAGCTTGTGCTGCCGCACGAAACGAAAGCACCAACGTTTCCCGCGGCAACAAAGCGTCGCTCTTAAATCAGAAACGTTGATATAATTATATAGAGTTTTTAATTACAAGCTTTGTGAAAAAGCAAAAGACAAAGGCGAAAGAGACAGTGTTAATCATCGTTCTAGTTTATGATTTATAAATTCTTTTCTAATTCACGTTTTCTTTTCTAATTCGGCTTGTGTAGAGTGTATACCACTGTATACCACTTGATACCGGTTGGGATTGTGGCGAAATGAAATACTGGGGTATAAATTTCAAACGCTTAATGCCACGTGAAATATATATCTCAGTGATGCGTGGACCCTACATTTAGATAGAATGATATATCTTAAAAGAAACGGTCGTGAATAATAACTCCGTTATTTTTGATGATGCACGAAATGTATCTACCAAATAAATATTATTGTTTCTAAGAAAAATGAAATTATATATATATTTTTTGCAAATAATAACTGTAATAATCTTAACAACAATAGATCTTAAGACGATATTTTTCGTAAACACAATTAACATAATCAATAATTCGAATATAATAGACTAATGGGAATCAGTGCGGTAATTATTGCGCAAAATTACAAATTGCAATAAATGACACAAGCTTATCCCATGTACATAAGTATATTTCCGTACGTTTTGGCCATCCTTCTGGCCATCCTCAGTGGTACATATATTAGTCACAGGGTCGGTATTATGTAGACCATATTTCCATCGTGTTTCAATTTATAAAATAACCATTTAGGTGCACAAGTAAAACAAAAAATGTTTAGTGTCTCAATAGGCGTCACATATCTAAAAAAAAAAAAGAGTATTAAAAGTCGACTGTGCTTCCAAGAGTTTAAATGATTCATTTGATGATTAAATTAATTCATCAAATGATTCATTTGAAAATTCCCATTAGTCTATTATATTCGAATTGTTGATTATTCATGGGAATCTTTTTAGTTTTTAATACAATTAATATATCCCGCTTTCTTCTTTAAAACTAAATAATAATAAAATGTTTATGATTCCCTTAGGGTTACATTTTCTTATATTCCCAACTTCTCTACAACTATAACAAACTCCAATTTTGCCACTTCCATTTGGCGATCGTCAACCAGAGACCGTGCTTCGATTTGCGCTGCTAAATGCCGTAGAGCACTGGCAGCGCATTTCAGAGCACCGGAATTCTGGGTGATTTTGAACGTGAAGTTTTGGCACAGTAAGCTGCCACGCAGCGCCTTGCGCCACGATCGCCCCAACTAAATAATAATAATAATGTTTTGTTTTCAAACGTTTGCTAGTCTTCAGGTACTTGTAATTGTTTTTCTTTATATCTTTTTAATTCTTATTAAGGTGGTTTTATCGCTCAACTCGATAGTGTGACGTTGTCACGTAAACGTCACACAATCGCATATGTACAGTCTAGATGCGAAATGTTTTTATTGAATTATTAGTCATATGGAGGGACTAACTTTTGACTGGGACTTGCTCGATAGAACCATCTTAAATGCTTATTAAATTTTTTCATAAAGTGGAAAGTTTTTTAATTTCAGTCGCATTCAGTCGTATTTCTTCTTTTTTAGTCGAATTAAGACATATATCGTATATCTGTTCTTGATGATACTTTGAATAATAATGATTAGTACTGATTGGACAATTCTCGACCATAACTGAATAGATAACGCGGTGATGTCGTCGTTAAAGTCCATCACATTAGCCGCCGAAGGCATGCTCGCGCTCAGGGTGCGATTCGTCCGGTTTGCACGTGTACACCAATCGAAAGACAAAGTGTGCACTCGAAGCAACGAAGCTGCACGAAATTAATACGAAACCGGCTTTAATCTACGAACGTATTGCGGTTCGAAGCGCAGGAAAGGCGGTGGAACGAGATGCAGATATCCCGAGGCAGGCACGGCCGGCAGCCGCAAGTCGTTTTCTCGTCCTACCGGCGAGAAGCGTACCGGTTCTTGCGCTGAATAAATGGGAGATGCTCTGCCATCTTGGGTTCCCATCGCTCGCGAAGATAAACATCAGTAGCAGCAGCAACAGCAGCCACAGCACCAACAGCACACGGTAGCCAGAGGGATCCTCGTAATTAGTCGGGCTTGCGTGTCTCTTCTTTTTCTCACGTTATAGAAACGCCGCTTCGAGAACTGCGACGCTCGATGGTGTCTGTTTATGAGCGAATGATCATCCGCGAGTCGATCAAAGCACTTTGAAGATCGCCGGATGGCCGAACGATTTCATAGAAACTGCCGTGCGAATTCCACAGACAGAAATACGCGAGCGGAAGGAGATACGGATTACCGCTAACTTCTGCGCTCCGAACGGAAAATACTGGAGTGTCAAAGAGCCGAGACTTATTACCGTAACTTTGTGAATTAATAAGATTTGGGTAACAAGTTGCGTATCGGTGGCAGGGCTTAAAGTTCATTTAAAGATGGATACCTTGATAAATTCAAAAAGTGACTAACTTCCCTCAAGTAATAAAACCGTAGTAAAAGCCAAACAAAAAACACGCTGGATAATAATAGCACGGAAGCCAATTTAATATAAAGCTATATTCAACTTGGATTTTCAATAAAAAAAAGTCCTCTAATATAATAAGTGCTGTGATACTAGTCCTACAGTCGTATCAAATTTAAAAAAAATAATGGACTTACAGCTTGTGTTTGCTTGTGTTAAAAAACAACAAAATATATAATCATAATGTGATTAATAATTTGTCACACTATTTCAAATATTTCTTTACCTTTATGTTATTTTATTAAACGGTGGTATAAAATAAACACCGCCTCTCGCAGATTCTCTCGCGTCGACGGCTGCGTCTTCAGGAGAGGGTCTACAAAAATAAGTCGCGGCGCGCCCCGGCAATTACGCGAGGACGACTTCGCCCGAGTTTTAATTTGCGCGAGCTCTCGAGACGCGTCGCGTATTCGTGTACGCGGTACTTTCCACGAATTCGCGCGCAAATTTATGCGCCCAAATGATGGAAACAGCGCTCAAAAGAGCACCTCGCTTGCCTCTCCTACACCCACCGTAAATCTCGTCAGCTAAGAATTGCGAGTTTCCTCGGGAAAGGCACTTTGAACGCAAATTTCTCGACTGGCCATAGGAATTCCTACAAAAAGCAATTTTATCGCCCGAAAATCCGCAAATGCGAAACGCACGTTTTTAAATCTATTGAATATTTGTTGAAGTTATATTTATTAGGCAAAAAAACACAATTTTCGTCACATTTTACAAATCGATACATACACAAATGAAAGTTTTTTTCTTTCATTCTCGTGAATGTTCTTAAACAAATTTTAGCGAATTAAGTATCTTTCGAAAACCTTATATCTCTCCTGTCATCTTACAAGAAGAATCCTTGTACGCGTGTATGCAGAATTTTTACCTTCCGGTCTTCCAAACTTTTTTTCCTCTGCATCGTCGAAAACTTTTCGACGAGAAAATGACGCGTTTTCCGCCACGGCTAAAGCCGTTGGCGAGCGGCGGCGGGATTCGAGCTTGGATGCGAATTTTTCGCCCGAACTCAAGAGTTCGTCGACGAACGGCGTTTAACGATCCGGAAACGTTGTAAGTGTGGAGATTAAAGTGTATTCGTACACGTAGCTGCGAACCTGTGCGGCAGCACTTTCGTTCCTTCTCCCATTCTCCCATTCACACCACCTTCGGAATGACACGTTGGGAACGGAGCCAAGCCGACTCTAGAACGTGCTATAGCTATAGGAATGCTCCCAAATGGGAATACTTCTTCTAGCTTTTAATTTAAGTTTGAATATCAAGAAAAATAATTATCTAGCCGAATAACACGAAGCACGCAGATAGCTCGTTAAAATATGTGTACAATTTTAATATATTTAAGTAAATATGATTTATAGATATAATTACGTAAAAACAAGTAAAGACAATGATCTAATAAAAATGTATAGTAAGTTAATTTTTACTCACAGCTCGTACTCAGTCTTTATAAATGATCATTATACAACTTGCAACTACAAGTGCAATAATACGATCAAGAGTTATATTCTTAAAAAAGAATTAATAAAAAAAAAGACAAATCGAGGTTATAATTTTCCACAAAAGGTAGAAAACTTCGTCAATATTTATTCTTCGTCTTTCTTAATAAAGCTTAAGGTATATATTTTGCTATTCTATTTATCAAGAATATGAAACAATCAAAGATATTTATTATAAATCTTTATGATTCATAAAGAATTTGACAGCTATTAGAGAAATAATTATACTATAATATATTTAGATCAAAATTGATGTGAATATAGGAACATGCAGGTTTTTTTATTTAAATCATAAATCTGACGTATGTACGTCATGAATGTGAGATTGATTGTCAAGATCTACTGAACTGTAGTCTCTCTTTTCTCTATCTTTCTTTCTCTCTCAAAACTGGTTTTAGTCGAGTTTCTTAACAGAATTATTATACATATAAATATGGGCTATAAAATACTGATTATACAGAGATTAGAATATAGAATACAGAGATTAGAAAAATCCGCTGTTACAAGCCTATGCTTTGTACGTATATCGAACGTAATCGAAGCGGCATGATTGATTCGCTGATTCGCTGAACAAATTCATGTGTATTCACTCGTAAAATACGCTCGTGAGCCGGTACAGGCGGATGTAGCTTTATCTGGGCCCCATCATTCACGTTAATTCCACTTAAGCACCGATGCACCTGGCTCGCGAGCTCAACGCGACGAGCGCACGATACACTCGGCAAAAATGAAGAGACGAATGCCATGCAAATCGAGCATTCGGAGCGCGCACAAGGGCACCTTATGCAGCGGCACACAGTGGAACCGAGTGGGCCGAACGCGGGGCTGCGTGCAGGCAGCTCGAGCGAATGAAAGATGGCAGTGTGCGTATTGTAGAAAGCTGGAACAAACGGGGCACTAAATTCGCATGATTTCTTCGTTCCGGAGGCGAAGGCCTCCGCGCGTGGTTTATCCGGACGTCGCGCTGGCGCCGATGTCGATGTTTGCGTTGGAATAAATAATCGACCAAAAACAGTTGAAAGAGGATTTAATCCGAGAAAGAGGGCACAAAAAATCTACCGTCTGCACGACGCGTAACGCCGCGCTACGCTCTTCCTCCTCGGAATGATGATTATCCAACGAAAAAAAAAAAGAAAAAGAAAAAACAAACGGACTGAGATAAGTGGGAGCGTATTAATAAATGCATAAGCACACTTCTTGCCTCAGGCAGAAGCGCATATCAATTCAGAAATGTCGACATAATCAAGTCTCCGTAATTACGGAGGAAATGATTAACTCTTTCTACTTAAAGAGCGTGCCTGCGAGGCATAAAGAGTTCAACGTTATTCCGCGAGTAAAGTCGTGCGAAATGCGAATCGATGGTGCAATTAATTCAGGCGAGTGCACGCGCGAGAGCGACTTATTTTCTCTCCATATAATTTTTATCTCTAATAGATTACATTTGGCATACGTAATGCAAGAAAGGACTTTCGAAAGGCGCTGTGCGCGGCGGACGCGGTCGCTGCAGGGAACGTATATCTCGCGTAGGCGAGACCATGAATGCCGCATTAGAGCGCGCGTGTATTTACGACGAGATTATCCACGGGCCTAATGATTAATTGTACGTCACGATTGATCTAATCATCGGCTAAGAAACGAATGCCGTGTCTCGTACACAATCGGCCGGAGCAAGCGGGGCGGTTAAAGGTTGGCTGCACTCTGTGACCTTAATTACTGTGTCGACTAATCGATCGCGTGCATTGTGATCGTACTAAGCTTGACACGGGTACCAGCATACGCAACCGCTTCACCGCTTGAATAGCGTCTTAATTACCGGCTGGATAATCCGATTCAGCCACTTTGTATAGGTATCGATAGTCTCCGGATCTCACAAGTCGAATATTGAGAATCGGAAAAGATTACGAAATCACCGAAGCGCTCTCCGGAAGTGACTCGAAGAGAGACAGCGTTTAAACAGTTTCCGTTTTGTTTCGATATTAATACGAAATTTATTAACAAAATTCAGGCAAAATTGTCTTAGAAGCTGCTAATATGAAATCAAATCTATTTGATGTGATATTTCAATTACGGAGGTGTCGTTGGCTTGATTCGAAAATCCAAAAGTAAATTCCTGAAATCCACGAATCCACGATCGTAGCGCGATATAAAACGCGCCGGTCGCCGCGTTTATCGCCACGGATATTTTCGTCGTGAAATAACGAGTCGCAGGGAGGGTTCTCTAAGCTCGGCAGATAAGCATCGGGGAACGGTCGGCGGTAGTCAAGGAACCCCATAACCCCCCCTTCCCGTTAATTAGCCAAAAAGTAAGGTCTCTCGTACGGTCCCCCTCGCTTTTCTTTCCTGCGCCACAACGGCACCGCCGCCGTGAATAAAGTACGGTCTCGCGTTCTCTCTCCCCGCGAAACCCACCCTCCCTCCCCCCTCCCTCCGAGTATCGCCCGACTATCCGGTATGTACGAGCCCTCTCGCATACGAGAGAAGAACCAGCCAAAGAACCCCACGGCGTTCTCCGCAGTTCTTTCTCCGGCTCGTGCAGCATCCTCTCTCTTTCCGTCTTCTTCTCTCGCGCCGAACGGCCGATCCTAATCTCGATAATGACGCGTAATGGCTGCTGGCGTGAATGTAGCTCTTTGTCCATGGCTCCTGTACCGGTCGTATATCTGTCCGGTACGAGAACCGCGCCATTTCACCCCGGCGAAAAGCACGGGGAAGGCCGAAACGGCCGTTTCCAGACTCTTTTTCTACGTTCACGTCGCGTCTCCCTGTCGGCCTCCTCGCCCCCTTGTTCCCTTCCAACCCTCTCCTGCCCCAATCTCTATGCCTGGCAAGACGCCTACTCGAGAATCACGCTTAATCACTCTGTTCTGCGTAATTTCAGGACCGTTTGTACGTGTGTGTGTGATTTCCTTTTGGAACTCTATTTTTGCAGAAGCGGTTATGAGAGTTCGATGACCACGGGCCCGCGGACCATCGACGCTACCATGGACTACCTGCAGACGTGCCTCATCTTTTACCTGCTGATCCTCTGCTTCTGCGGCGGACGTTCCATAGACATATGTGAGTAGACGTGTTAATCAAATCAAATTTGATGTAGCTTAAAACTTCGAATCGAATTCTTTACATATCTATCTACATAAATTTCCTTATTGGCATTAATGATGGCTTAAATATAATGACGATCGAGTCAAGGATCATTAAATTAATATATACTATAGAAATACTATAGAAAAAATAATCAACATCTCAAATATCAAATAATATAATCGGTCAAAAATTTCGAGTTAACTGATTAAGTGAACTGGTGGTACCTAAGATAGAAATGTAGCATTAACTATATTAGATAGTGTGGTATCTACCGTTCAACAACAGAGAGTCAATTCTTTTTTTGGGCAAGATCAGGAGATCGTGATGGGAGAGATCATGATTGAAATACGTGTTTACATCCGAGGCTATATAATTTTACCCCAAGGTGGATACCTCTTCCACCCGCCGCGGTTGCACTCGATAAAAACAGAAAGGCATCCCGGTGGCCTCCCTCGCACCGCATTGCCCTTTGCCTTACATTAAACCTCGGGCTCGGTTTCTACTCGGCTTGGTTTCCATCCCATTGACTCCGACGGCCCCAAGCCACCCTCGTGTCAGGTAAACAGGGCGAGAAACTTGCAAAGTATCCGCCAAGAGTTCCGAAGTCAGCTCCGCGAAAGGCTTTTAGGTACTCGTTCGTGAAATCGAGCTCGAAACTTACGTATACGGGACGTATTTCGCACCCGAAGAATTTCTCGAGCAAGATCGAAAGATGGATCATGATGGTCTCTCGATTTGGTTGCACTGCACAATGCGTACCATCCTTTTCCCTGGATGAGTGAGTAGATTCAAGTTACACCGAGCGCAAAGTTTTCAAAATGCGGACTTTGCGTCACGCAAGCACGAGGCTTGTACATAATCATTTTGACATGATGTGACTTTCATTTGCGAAATTAGACTCAGAAGAGGTCTTATTATGCAATGAATATTTAAGAGTTACGAAACAAGAGTTACAGCGGTTGCGCTCGATGAGTCGTTGACAACTTTATAAATGATAGTAGTAGGTATAAAGTTTGTAAGTGTACAGTAATCGGCTTATACTTGAACGCTAAATATATCCGTGCAACGGGAACGTACTAAATCAGGAAAGTCGATGTTAACTCTTCTAACTCTTGGAATCTATGCGGCGTACTATTTGACCTCAAAGCCGATACTTGGGCTACCTTTGATCCTGCTTATACTTACACTTGAGCATGCCGCTGTAATCCTGGAAAACAACTATATAGCGCAAACTTCGCTAATTAAATTCTATCTGGTTATCAAAGCAGCTCAACATAATACTTTGAAATAACAAATGGTGCAGCGATGATTAAAGCGGCATTCTGTACGAAAGAAATTGCATCTTGCTACCAGATGTAATTTAACAGCATAGTCAAAATAAAATAACAATCTGTTAATTAATTGTCAACCGATAATAAAAGCATCGAGCTAAATTTCATAGCGTTCTTTGTAAAAAAAACTGAATCGAAAAGTCCTGATTTTTTCTATAATGCTCATTGAAGTGATCACTATTGAAACTAATTACTGTTTTCTTCAGCATTGTAAAAAAATGGTTCAAGACTTTTCGATTCAGTTTTTTTACAAAGAATAACACAATGTAATTAGTGCAGAGTATTTAAATTACATTCTGTATATCGTATTTCATTCATTCTTTTTTATTCGCGCGTAAAAGAAGCAGGACACGACGTATTTCGAATTCACTCGACCGTACTTGGAATCCAATAGAACCGCGCTTCAAATACCGGTCGCCGAAAGATGCATAGAGGCGTCCGGGCGTAGGTGGATCGGCATGCTCTGCATAAGAGGAGCACCGAGCGAGCGTCGAAATATAAATAGCCCCGTACGAAAGTTGGAAGGCGACCGAAGGGGAGACGATTACGATCCCCCTCCCCGCGGTGACTGAACTTGTACATTGAACCGCGTCGGTAAATTCGCGGTTGTGTTAAGCGAGCCGGTCAGCTGTGGCCGATCGGGGCGAGCCGAAAGGGGTCCCCGAGCAGTTGAAGCGCGCATAAATTGCAATGTTAATGTTGCCGGCGATACATAAACATGTTGCACGTCGGTAGGATTGTGGTGCTTGCGCGCACTGCACACCCTCTAGGTGCCCGCTCTCTGCGTGCGTGCGTGCGTGCGAGGGCGAGTTCGATTTTGTGTATACCGAGGGCGGTTGTTGGTAAACGGTGTGCGCACATATAGACGCGTGCCTAGACGAGAGTAGCCGTCGCCGTTTGCGTGTGTATTAACGCGCCCGCGCGCGTCCCGCACGTCGGTGTCGCGTAATTGCAGGGTAGACGAGCGAAAGTGTACGTGCATGCACGGGACGAGTGTGCTGGAGAGCCAGAGTGATAGGATAGGCAATTGTACAGATGCGTCATCCGGGAGGGATGTATCTGACGTAGCGAGATTTAACGCGAGCGACACATGTGGCGAACGATCGCTCTTTTTTTTTGCTTTTTTTTGTTTTTTGCATTCCGCACGAGACTCATTGTTAACAGCAACTACAATGACACGCAGCTAGTGGTGAAACAGAGTGTACAGGATATACGCCGATATGTGACTCATTCTCTAAATAAATTACGAACGTGTACACGCGAGCGCATTAATTTTAATAGTTGTAAATTAATACGTGCGTATACATAATGAAATGAGCGTATATACATAATGATAACGCGCCCGCGTTGTGTTTGTCGCATCGAGGACACATCGAAAACAGGCGGCAGAAGTGTGTACGGGGGAGGAAAACCGTCACGCAACAGAGCCCTCCCCGGCGTTATGACATTGTCATCCCTCTGTTACCCTCTCGGTCCTCAGCCCTCCTTTCCAATTATCTACGGATCCATTAGGCCCTAGCGTGATGGTGACGAAATTATTGCTGCGGAGTCTTCAGCGTATTAACATAACAATGCGGCAATTAACGCGTTATTGCCCTTCGTCCACGCTCTATCGCCAACCCGTGCGACGTTAGCAAAGCAGAGAATGT